CAACAAAAACAAATTCTTATGAAGGTTTGGTTTTTCTCTTTATTCTTTAGTATTTCTTGATTTATTTCTTTTTGGTTTTGTAGTTTCACAAGCAAAGAGAACAAAGTTGACCATCCTAAAAGCCACTATAGCATCACTTGTATTTGAAAAAGTAAATTCAACCAAGATTCTTGAGTTGAAGATTTTATCTATATATGGTTTTGAAATCCTTTTTTTTCTGTAGTGTTTATTTTCTTTTTGCCTAGGTATGGAACTTATAAAGTTCATCTTGCAAAGAACACTCTGTGAAGTGCAAAATATTTAACTTATATAATGAATTGTACAGATAGGCATGGCTTGCAAACTTTAACTGTATATGGCAATTCATCCATATGTGCGTGATTATATAATAAATTTATGGTTGGCAAATGTTTCTCACTTACAAGGTTCATAATTTTTTAAAAAAAATTAACAAGATTATAATTCTCTCAATTCAGATGGGTTGAACGATAGAAAAACCCAATTTACCACCATGGAACTTCAGAAAAAGTTCTTTATATTATAGATTCTTCTATCATTCAAATTATAGATGATTTTCATGTTAAACTAAGATTACAGCCAACTAGAGGTGCTTCTATATCATCTTTAATGGCTACTAGAGTTTATCCACAAGCTATACATGCTGTTGTAATCAACACTAGTATTTTTCCTAAAATAAAGATTGCTTCTTCTGATAATCCATTGGATGTAACTATGGTAATGTTTTTTTTCTATTTAATTTTCTATTTCTAAAATATTTTTCACAGCTCTATATGCATCTGGAGTATGAAGAGCAATATCATCATATTGTAGTAAATTTATATGTTGGATACATGCCAAAGTTTTTATTTTTTAATATTATGAAAAGCATGAGTGTGTTAGGTGATTTAGCAACACTTGGAAGTACTTTATTTTTGCCACTAGTTGATTCAAACGAAATTCAGAGGCTCAATGAAGTTTATAAAACGCATTGTGGCCTCACTCTTAATTACAAGGTAATGTAAATTGTTTATATCTCCTTTCAACTCTAACTTCCAATTATACAGATTAGTAAATATTTCATCCCTAACAACCAACAAAGCCTCGCTCAAGCTGAAAGTCTTTGCTCAGAAACCAGCTGCAAAACCTAACAAAGCCAGGATGTTACTCAAGACCTTCTTATCCTATGGGAGCTTATGTGAATGTAAAGGAAAAACGAGGAAGAAAGAAAAAACAAGGAGGGACAATCACACACCTTGTGCTGGATCTGTCTTCTAACTATATCCAATGCCCTGTGCAATCCTTTGACCTAGTGTAGTGTAAAGAAGACAAAGACCACTCCTAAAAGACTTACAAAAAGAAAATTTCACCTTGTTTTGATAAAGTTCTTTCTTTCCTAACTCATTTTGCTGAGGAATCTTGAGGATTTACAAAGCATTGGCCCTCTTTTTGAAGGTATCCCTCAGAAATCTCCTACTGCATGATCCATTCAGCTGCTCAAGTAGCAAGACACCAGAATCCATGCGAGATAGTGGTGTTAACCCAAAAGAAAGAGATATAGAAATAATACAATCAAGCAGGCAATCAATTACTTAAAAATGCACGAGTCTAGTACTTGTGCTCACGTTTCTCTCATCGCAAGAGATAAGCCCATTTTAGGCCCTTTTAAATAAAGATTTAATATACCTTTAGGGCATAAATGGTTTTCAACGGAATAACATTGAAAAGTAAGTAAAAGATCTTTGATTGTTTCTACTGGTCTAGATTATCAATTATCAACCTTCACAAAGCTGTTGATTGAAAGATAGAGAATTATTACTTACTGAAATTAGGCTAAAAATAGTTCATTTGGTTCAATTGTTGAATCTCTTTAAACAATCTTGATCAACTAAACAATCATAGAAAAAACTAATCTGGATGCACCCATCTATCCGGTGGGTGTAAAGACATTAAGGGCAATAAGGGCATTTAAGTATAAAGGGCATAATTATGACAAAGAAAAATTTTGAATAGATAGAACTTCTAGATGTAAAATTGTTATCATTTCAAGGATCTGCAAATAAAAAAGAAAAAGAACTAAAATTCAATAATAATATTGATTTAACTGAGTAGCAAATTGTTTCTAGATACTATTATTTATCAAGAAAGAATAAAAATGAGCAAATAAAAACTATTAACATATCCAAATAAAAACATGAAGAATTAGAAGATTTAACATTAGCAGAGATAACAACTGAATATATAATTAAAAAATAATTAACAACACAAAAACATTAAAAAATATATATATAACTAAATATATAAAATTTAGTAAAGAAAAAAATCCAGAAAATGGGCATTTGAAAGATTAATCTTACATAAAAAATTTAGAAAAGAAGAAGATCTTAAAGAAATGTACACAAAATATATGCATATGAAGCAAATATGGAATAAATAAATGAAAAACAATATCAATACATATATAAAAAAGCAACAAATGAGAGTGAATTTAATTGGGAGAATCTAGAACAAGAAGCAAATAAAATATTAAAAGAACAAACACAGTATATACAAGAAATAAATACAAACCAAACAAATGAATTTGATATAGGGAAAGATTTATTAAAAATGAAAAATTAAAAAAACTTAAATTTAAATATAAAATATAAATATTAACAAATACAACAATTATAATACAAGATGAATAACTTATAGAAACTAGTAAATATCACCAATTATTAAGAACTCTAAATAAAAAGCAAAGAATAATACATGATGACTTTATATTGAAAAAAATAAAACAACGTAACAAACATATGTGCTTATTTTTAACAAGAGCAGGAATTGGAAAATTAATGCTTTTAAATACACTTATAAAAACACTCAAATGATATTATAAAACAAACCAAGATATAAATAATGAACCATGACAAACAGTATTAATAACAACACCTACATGAAAAGAAGCTTGTAATATAAATGGTTCAACAATACATTCAGCTTTTACATTTCGACCATAAGCATCAAAACAACGTCAAACAATATTAACAAATGACACATTAGATAAATACAAGAGAAAGTTTTCAACAATAAATTGTTTAGTAATAGATGAAATATCAATAGTAAGTGCAGAAATGCTACAAGATATAAGTAGAAGATGTGAAAGCTTCAAAACAACATATGGAATAAACTTTGGTGAGATGGATTGTTTATTTACAAGTGATTTCTATCAATTCAATCCTATATTTGAAGCACCAATTTATTCAACAAAAACATATGGACCTGAAAATAATGTCTCTATATACCACCCATGGAAAAATAATATTAAAGTTTATGAACTTACTAAAATAATGAGGCAAAAAGATGATATAATCTTTATAAAAGCTTTAAATAAAATAAAAATATGAGAACAAACAGATAAAGAGCTAGAATATATAAAGAAACAAGTCACCACAGATACATATAACACAGAATACTATTCGATATTTGCAACTAATGAACAAGTAAAAACACATAATGAAAAAATAATACAACACATACAAAGTCAAGATATAATTATAAAAGCACAAGACAAACATGGAAATTCCTGTCCTACACATTTCATGCTGCCAAATAACACAAAAAAAACACAAGGACTACATGAAATATTACATTTGAAAAAAAAACATGGCAATTGAAATAACACAAAATACAACAACAAAAGATGGATTAGTAAATGGAGCAAATGGAGTAGTACAAGATGTAACCCAGATTGAAGAAAAACAAATAATGTGGATAGAATTCCCAAATATAAAAACAGGTGAAAAAACAAGAGCTAAAGAAAACATAACAATAAAGAAAAATAATGAAAAAAAAAACTGGACACCAATAAAAAAAAACAAGAATAATAAATATTACTAAAAATAAAAATTATGTTATAAGTAGAACCCAATTTCCAGTACAACCATGCGCAAGAAGAACAACACATAGAGCACAAGGATCAACTGTTATGCAATTAGGATATGACTCATATAAAACAAAATATCTAGAACAAGCATATACAGCATTATCAAGAGCACAAACACTAAAAGGTATACATTTATATAGACCAATTGAACATAAACATATTAAAATCAATAAAGATGCAGCTAAAGAAATATTAAGAATGACAACAGAAGCACTATAGCAAATTGATTTAATAGATTTACAAGAAGAAAAAATAGCTAACCAAACAATTATACAAGTTCTAAATACAACATCTATTACTGCACATAAAGACGATATAGAGAGTGATTCACAATTATTAACATCAGATATGATATGTATGCAAGAAGTAAGAACACAAAAACATGAGGATTTAAATTTTAATAAATATAAATCATATATACATGAACATTGCATACAAATGACTATAAATCATAGAACATCTAAAAACAGAAACATTGGCAATGTCATATGTATCACTAGAAAAAAAATTTAAAAATTAAAGATAAAAAATTTACATAGAAAACCTGGAACAAATATACAAATATTCATAAAACAACTACAAAAATATATACAGAAAATAGATAATAAAAAGCCAGTAATAATTACAGGAGATTTCAATATTGACTACCAAAAAGAAGAAGCAAAACCACTTCAAACAATAATGGAGAAAGAAGGATGCATATAAATAATAAAGCACAACACATGTAATAATAAATTAATAGATCATATATGGATAAAAGATATAATATATACAAAAGCAGGAATAGGACCTGCATATTGGACAGATCATAACAAATTATACATCCTAATAAAAAATATAAAAACAAAAGCAAACCATGCAATGCAACACACAGCAATTTTATTTACTAGATTCAACTCTCTTTTGTCCAAAAAACTTATTCACAATAATTTCTAGCATAAATTTTGTTAAATCTGCAAGGAATTGCCATACCACTTCTTCCAATCCCACTGGGCAATGATTTGTGGATGACAATTGCATGTATGCCTTTTAATTTTCTACTTTGGTAGCATAACTTATCAACATGTTGCAGTGTTAGTGATCAAGCTTTATCTATTCAAATTTGAGTGTGTGCTTATTCTCATTTTCTCAAAATAAGTGGTGGCCAAAGGTTTTGCAACCTCTCCGCCACCTTTTGCTGCAGTGCAAGCTCTAGCGAGGCGAGCCAAAATTGCATGGATCATGCATGCAATTGTAGAAGCAACCATTTGGGTAGAGGCCAACGTGGTCTCCGGTCGTCTTTGGTCTTCACACCGGTCGTTGATCTGGTTTTTGACCTCGAGAAAGCATTCCATTTTGCTGGAAGCTTGAAGTTGATCGGTGGAGAATGAGCCTAGCACCAGGGGACAGCCATTAGCCCGCGGAGGTGAGAAAGTGGGACTGAGGTCCATTACATTCTCTAATGGAATGTTGTTTCTACGGGAGAGAAGCCAGGATCTGGCTGGCTGTCGGCCTGAGGCTCCTGTTTGGATGTAGCATGCTCCGAATCTTCTCTGCCAATTCCTGGTTTGCAATTTCCCACTCCTTTGGGAAGATGCCATCCTTAGCCAGCTGCATCGTGGAGTCTCTGTCTTGGTTCTCGGGTGAGAAGCGGCAATTGAGCTCGAAAAGTATCATCCCCAGGCTGAAAATATCGGAAGCCATCTCATTCTCGAGTTGCTTTGGCGAGGAGTACATGCCTGTCCCAACTTTCCCACCCTCTCTCGGGAGCGACAACTTCTTCTTCGCTGGAAAAATAAATATGAGAACCTCTGGCAAGGAGGAAACTAGAAAACTACGTACCCAGCCCGAAATCTCCCAGTTTCAGGCGATTATAGTCGTCGAAAAAGATATTCTTCGGAGCGATGTCTCTGTGAATGATTTTTTTTTCATGCAGGTACTCAACAGCTTGAACGAGCTCGTTGAACGCTGCCACCGGGATCAAGGCTTTTGGATCTTCCAGCATATCTTTTAACGAGCTGTAAAAATGGCTTGTCAGCTCGAAAAAAGGAAAAAAAAAAAAAAAAAAGGGAAAGATTTTACACACTGGTACCTCGTGCAGTATTGCATTTGGATGTACACCACACAACCCCCACCAGGCTGCTCCTCCCACCAAGAAGTATGATATTTCACAATGTTTGCATGAGCCAGAGTTGAAAGTGTTCTTGCTTCCTTCATGACACTCTCAAGGTCTTTCCGGACATGGATCTGCAAAGCATAGATTAGAGAGCTTTGGTTCATGACATACACTCCAAGCTCACCTGCTTTACCGCGTACACTTGTCCGTCAAACTTGTGTCGGCACATGTAAACCACACCGTCAGCACCTCTTCCAAGCTGTTTGATCAACGTGAATTCTTCATTGAACTTGGTGTTGATGTGCTTTGTTCCCAGCTCACCGCCGCAGAGATCCTTGACAATGTAATTAAACGTCCTCTCCGACAAATCCTACACATACAATTAGAGAAACACTGTGACAACTCAAAACAAACGCTTACTCCGGACGCCTTGAGGCATCGCGCGGCATTGAGCAATGTTGAGCTCAGCTCATCCTTGGTTGCAGCTGAAAGTGGCTCCGGTGCCCTCCTCAAATGAGGAGGAGTGTATCCCTGGAGGAGGAGTAACGCAATCGTTGTGTGTAGCCAAAAATGGAATGTACCTTTTTAGTCATGGGAGGAGTGGAGCAACACCGAGGCCCTGCCAAGAATGCACCGGCCGTTTTGAGGTAATCGCTGTGGAGGAAAACTGGCTGTGCTGCCGGAGACCAGAACTGCATCGCAGATCTCAGCACGTTTACCACGGGGCCACGCAAAAAGCTTCCGGTGAACACAGTCTTCTTCACGTTCTGTCCGGCAGCGGTGAGCGAAGCTATCTGGGAGATGTTGTTCACTATCATCCGAAGGAGTGACATAGCAATGTCCTCCTCTCGCCAATGCCCTGTGGATTCACCCCAGCTCAATTTTCCAAGACTCGCAGCTATGGCCGAGTGCGGGAGCTTGGCCTATTGGTAAAAAAGAAAAGAATAACGTTTAGATAAAAAAAACACTGTTCTTACCTCTGTTGACGTGGTCCCATGCATATCTGTGACGAGCAAATCCACTCCAGTACTTTCTCCATTGGAGCACAAGTCCAAAAAGCTTTGAAAACTAGAAAAAAACACCAAAAAAATTTCATGTTAACATTAGAATATTGCTGTTTCACCTTTGACAGGAAGTTGCAAGCGATGAGAGGCCGCGCAGTGCACCGCCACCTATGGTCGTGCCCGAAACTCTTTTGAAAACATTATGGCCTTCCACCTGTAGGTTCACGTTAGCTTCTTTTGTGGAGCTACTTTTGTGGAGAAAGACCCCTGACCTTGATCATGTTCACGCCTGTGCCAAAGTTGACGAGCAGGAACGGGAATAAAGGATGTTCCTGCTGATTTTTTGCGTCCTGTAGCATGAACGTTGCTCCTGCTACTAAGCACTCCATGTCGGGTAGGATTTCCAGTTGAATGCCCAAGTGCTCTTCGAAGATGCGGGAGTGCCGGAAAACCCCCTCCCCCGTGGCCTGTGTAATGGCAAATGCTACGAGGCGAGAAAATTCAATGAGCTAGAGACCTTAATCGTTGTGATGCCTTGGGATTGCAGCGCGTCAAGACACTCACGGATTGTCGAGAATTCTTTGAGCTCGAGGTAGCCTCCACGGCAGGGGAGATCCGATCCCGCCATGGGAGTCGGCAAGAAACGCGCGACCCGGACCATAGAGACCCCTGGACAGACCAAAACATGGATCCATGAGGATGAGGAACAAAGAAATGCTGCTAAGCACATTACCAATGTCCAGAGCCACGGCATCCCGATCGCCGTCGCCCGGAGCACCATCGCCTTCGCCCCGAGCGCGATCGTCAGCGCTTGCTCCCGGCGCCATCGCTTGCACAAGAAGGAATATACCCACGCTCCCTAGAAATATGCCAACGCGCAAAAGTGACGCACGTCACTGCCGCCCGTCCAGCCCGTAGCCCGTGCAGCGCGGCCCCGCGCGGCATCCGTCGTGACTGAAACCAAGGGGCAAAAAAGAGAAACAGGTCAGATCGGAACGCGCGGGCTTCGTGGTATTTTCAGTCTTGCGAGTGACATGTACAGGGAAGATTGGATCCTTACCAGCTTCGTCGCACCGGATCCCGCCTCTGGGCAAATGCTGTAAGATGAAGAGACTGCACAATGACACAGCCAATTCCAGCCCCCGCTCCATGGATCTCGGGGACAAGGAACCGAGCAGAATCAGGAACTTGAAAAGATGTCAAGTGATTGTGAAGAAGCAGTCCCCTCACATCTCTTGTCGCCGGAGCTGTCTCTCTCGTACAAAAGACCCCGTGCGGCATCCTGCTCCTCTCTTCTACTCTAGCAGTGTACGAGAAGCAAAAAGGATTAAAGAGTTTCACAAGCAAGCATATCGAGAAACGAGCCACACCCTTTCCTTCCGATTTTCTCCCCTCTACATGCCATGCTTTGCTCGGCCTTGTAAGATTCTGCGTGGCATAGCTTTTTATCATATATAACCACAGTAGGATTACATGCACAGCTTGGGGCGACTGATTGCCCTGGCAAGGTTGGATTCGAGCAGAGGGAGCGGCAGTGAGAGCAGAGCAGCCCTCACATCCACATCAGGCCCATAAGTTGCAAGTGTTTCCAGATGCGGCCACAAATCCATGAGCACCCGATCGTTGCCACTGCTGCTGTTCCGAAACATTGGCACCACAATCCCGCTCTCCAGGTTCATTCGGAAAGAATCCCGGAAATCATCCACCCACACCACCCTGCGCAAATCCCTCCCAAAGCTCGGGCTGTTCAAGTCCTTGTACTCCTTGATGGCATCACTGCCACTGCAAGAGTCCCTGGACAGCCAAAACGCCACCAGCGAGCCACTGGGATCGATCTTCTCCCGCATCTTCTCCACGTACGCTCTCTTCCCCAGGCTGAACACCACCACCTCGAAAAGCTGCGATGCTTTGCTGAGGAAATCATCCAGACCAGGGCGCTTGCAAACCCAGACGGGCTGTTCTTGAGGATCAAACTCCACCACAAAATCGAGCTTCGCGTGTAGCCCCGCTTGCCGAGACGTTGCAATCAGTGTGCCGTCCAAGTCGAGGATCAAAGTCGGCTTGCCTACCTTGTCAACGTGTTGAGCTTCTAATTGTGCCATACATCGCTGTAGCGTTGGGTGTAGGGCTTTATATAAGGAACTTCGCCCTTTTTAGAGGAATATTCTTGATACTGTTCAAATGCATATGGAATTGAAGGAATGTAATTTATGATCGTGACAAATAAGGGCCTTTTATTACTTGAACACTTTTTATTAAAGGAGCTCCAAAAAATGGTAAAAAGCCAAAATATATAAAGTATTGGAGTCCGTGGCCATCCGTGCCAGCGATAAAGAGAGAAGCTAGACGCGAATTAGCCATCGCTGCCACTTTCAATCCAGTGGACTGGGAACCTTGCTTGCCAATTCCCCAAAATCTTCAAATAATTCCATGGAAGAATCTAATCCTCCACAAAGCGCAGCAATAAGTGTATATTTTGACACGCCATTATCCAGCCCTACGTGGTCCTATCGACAATCTTTTCCGCATGAATCTATCACCCGGAGATCGTTCTCCGCGAGGTTGAGCTCCTGGAGCTCCGGACGATCCACTCGGGCACGCCACCAGAGAAAGAGTTCCCAGGCAAGCAAAGAACTTCCAGCCGCGACAAGCTCTCGAGGAAGGACGGGATTTCTCCGGACAGAAGGTTGTAGCTCAGATCCAAGCTCACCAGCATTTGACACTGGCCAAGCTCCGAAGGGATCTCCCCGCTAAACGAGTTGTGCGAGAGGTCGAGGGAGCTCAGATTCTCCACTCTCAACTCACCTTTAGTTATGCTCTTTAATTCCTATGGTTTGGTTTTATCCCATTACTATTTGCTTTTTGGCCTCATACATTTCCTTTGGATATTCTTCTCCAGACTAGGAGGATAGATTTGCATTTTCTACCATGCTTTAGCAAGTATTCTTAAAGATGAACCTACCTGATAGCCTAGGGAGTGGTTCTTCAATCCGAGTATGGTCACCTTATAATTCCACACACCGGGATTAATGTTGCTACTTATGGGCCTTTATATGCCCATCACTAGCCTTGCCAAAATTCCATTTTTAGCTTTGTCCAATTCGGGTAGATGGTCTTCTCCCATCTCCACAACCTTCGACGTTTGGATAGCACCTTTTATCCATCATTCACTAGGGATTTAGTCCCTTGGATTGCCCTTGCGACACCAAACACCACCTCCTTGTGTTCTCGAGTGTTTAGGTGTCCTAATGATGGCCTCTTTGACAATGAGCATTCCCTTTTACGACATTGACTTACTATATCGCAACATAAGCAATTTATCCCCTATACGGGTATATTTAACTTCTTTATGCTAGAAGTCTTGGGTAGCTACCTTTTACTAGTTTAACCGATTATTTTGCACCTTTTGCTTAGTTGCCTCATAGTTGTCAAGTCTTACAACTCATTGTTGATGCTTTCACACCTCCATCATTATCTAGGTCACCACACTCCAATTGCATGCCTTCCGCTTAGGTTATGCCATTCCCATTTCCATTAGGTTTCCTTTGAGAAGGGGTTCTCGTGAACCCATCACCTCACCTTAAAGCATCATGTCTTAGCACATTCGATGTCTCCACACCATCAGCTCCACGAGCCTACCTTTATGACACTTCTTACTTGTGTCTAGGTCCTTACCAAAACCACTACAATTCTTTCTCATACCAACTATCCGTTAGCACTGCACCATAAGGTTTACACACAACTTTATGTTAAAGTTGTTTTCTTCTGGGAACACCTTCCCCACCGCTTTAGTATGGCACATTCTGCTATCAATAAGATACTCACCATTCTCATACTTGGATTTTATGATCCTCCCCAACCTTCATGGGGCACAACACACCATAGTCCAAATGTTTTTTACCAATCCCTTAGGACCATTTCTTGACTCTACTCAAGTCATCCCACATTTATGGACTTTGTTAATCCACTGACCCGTAAGGTCCTATTTTTCAGGTGTTAGCTCGCTGGAATACAATTGTGTGTATTCATGCCTTACTCATAAAGACCATCTTTGCAAATGTTACTCCAACACTTTATTATTTTCCGTTCTCTATGGGCTACTTTTGCCCTTTAGGACTATCCGTCCATATGATGAGAATACCAACTCATCCTCTAAGCACACCCCCAACTCCTTGGGTTTATTCTAGCATTTATAAAAAGTAGCCTCAGGTACCATTTCAAGGACCTGTGTCCTTTTTTATATTTGACCTCCCACGGTTATTAATTCTGGTCTCAAATTGATGAGCACCAACCTCAACTATTTGAGGATAATCTTGTAACTCCTTTATTGTTCTGGAGTCTCTATCTTTCCCGTGATCCCAAATATAGTTGTTTATCATAACTACCTTAGCCAGTTTGCTGAGCCAAATGCTTATTTGAATCACATCCTCAACTCTCTGAAGAAACCCTTATATTGTTCCCAAGATCCCAAAGTTGTTCCTTTACTAGCCCTTTTCTATCCATCACATTGTGCACAAGTTCATGCATGAACTTGAGTGGAGAGCCATATCTTCTTGACATGCTACTCCTTAAGGATAAGTCCATACCTAAGACCTTCCAATTCAATACAAGTGGTGATATACTTAGCCATCAATAAAAGTCGGACTAAGGAACAACTCCAATACCAAATTGTAAGAGACTAATTTTTCCATTCTACTTTAGTCACCTAACCCCCTCTCCGATCACTAGGAAGAGTCTCACTCACAACCTCCATAAGTCCAATTCAGGACTTGGGGTCTGCTAACCCCGAGAATGGCATCCATGCCACTTAACCTTTGCACTTGGTTCAAGTGCTCCACGTGTCCGATCCCATGACCGACACCCCAAGGTACCACCAACATATCAACTCATTACGCTACGCCATACCCATTCACCTTGGTCACATTAGTGGTCTAACACCACTTGTGTTGCAATCCCGTCTCTCAACGACTAGACCATCCGTCCATGAATGATCATCCTAGATCCACTCCTTAGCATCTTTAGGATGCCCACAAATATGGGGAACAGCCTTCCCCAATATCTCTATTCTGGTCCCCACCAAGTCCCTTTCTGTCCATGGCCGTGTTTGCCAACATTGCCACTAGATCAAGGCCCATAGGCCCGACCACTAAGTCCCACTATCATTTGGGACTTCCTCATTGTGTGACTGTGTCCTTGATTACCACACCAAAGAGCTACTCCTCTTCCTTTCCACAATCTGGGACTTTGGGACAACATTTTGGAACACCATAGCCCTACGCGAGCCTCATGGGTATTCTCCCTGCCTTCTGCCTTTAGGTGTTCTAGCCATGGGCTTAGAGCGAGGTTCCGTTGAGCCACGCCAGGTATCCAAGTAGGTAGTGCCACCCACACTTGGACTGCGAGCATCGACCATTCGATCTCCCGGGGGAACTAGAGCTAACTCTTGAACACTTCACCAAGCTACCCTGCTTGTCGGTCTGTATTCACTCTAGTCTTGGACTTCCCAATGGTCAGTTCAT